AGGGAGCTAGCAGAATTACTTTGTTGGCTTACTTGTCGTATTTGTCTCCGCCTATTATAGCGGTCATTTTCATCATTATCTGCTCTTGGGTACCTAGTTGTCTCCTCATACTCAATTACAAACTTAATAGCTTCCTCAATGGTGAAAGGATCTTTGTTGAGCTCAACATGAATCCTAGCTTTCTCATTTATGAGTCCTAGTAAGAACCGGGAAACTAGATCCTCTTGTCTTGTGACATGATCTCTGTTTGGGTAAGCCTTACTATAGAGGCTTTTTAATGCTGCTCCATAAGACTGAGCAGATTCTCCATTCCTTTGGTCTCTTCTCCTGAATTTAGTCTGAAAAGTCTTTGGTGATTCATAAATTCCAAAGCGATTCCCAAGTTCCCTTCTTAATTTCCTATAATTTGTCAAAATTTCAGGGCTGAGTTCCTCAAAAGCAAACTCGCCTGCAGTGCCTTGTAGTCTTGGCAAGAGCTGTCCTAACTTTTGTTTGTCTGTCCATCTATTGTGATTGGCAACAGCCTCAAATCTATTGATGTATGCTTTCCAACTTTCATCTGGGTCTCCTTTGAAAGCAGGTAGTTTCACTGAAACATTATGCTTTTCTTTGAAAATTTTACTTGTAGAGACAGAACTTGCATGGTCTGATGAATTTTCATCTGAATCAGATTCACTGCTTGACTCGACATTGTTTATGTCTCTGTTGTTACTCTTGTTGAGCCTACTCTTTGACTGAGTTTTGTGTTCTTTATGGACACGGCTAGTCTCTTTAATATTGGTAAACTCACTTATAGTGGTTTTGAAGATGTTCCCTATTGTCTCAGTCATTTTGCTGAGTGCTCCATTTATCATTTGAGCTAATCTGTCTAACATGTATGTGTTGCTTTGATTCATTGAGCCCTCATTTTCCTTGTCAAGATTTATTCCCTCATTTTTGGTACTTGTGTCATGTGTGAGCTTTGTGGGTCTTGAGACTCTCTTAGTGTATGTCTTGTTTCTTTTGTTTTTAGAGATGAGAGGACTTGCATTTGAAGATATGTTTACTTTTTGCGGGGACTGTACAATAATTTCAGGGTACAGTACTTGTATGCCCTCTGTGATATTTGAGTTATTCTCTGATTCAGAGTTGCATGTGAAGTCCTCCTCATACTCTGTTAAAATTTCCTCTTCACTTTCTTCATTGAAATTTCCTATTTCTCTAGGACATGCATTTTGATTTGTTTCACTGTTGTTCATTTGTCCTTTCAAAGCTGCCTGGCGTCTTGTAAACATAATTGAAATATGTATTCAATCAGAAATAACATTCAGAGCAAGTTCGTATCGCTGGATCCACGCCTGAAAATTGTGGATCCCACTTCTGACACCAAAGAAAATATGTAACGGGATGGCACTCAATCACTGGGGTGTATTAACTGATTAACGGTACTTTGAACACCCAGAAATTTACTAACTTTAAACCAATTTATTTTTAAATTAAATGATGGACTCCAGTAAATAATTAAAATAAGATTTAAATAGCTTGAGATGATGGTTTATTCTGGCTTAATCTCAATTAACAAATTAAATAAAATTTTATCAATGATAAAAATTCAATCAAGAAAAATACAATAAAAAAAAAAAAATAATGGCTGCAGTCGTCTTAACCCCAAATTCCCAAAAATATTAAATTTCCCTAAGACATATTAATTAATATTGTGAAACGGCTCTAATAAATAAATAGGCCTAGCTAAATTTCTTCAAATTACTGAGTTACTAATAGAAATAAAGAAAAATTCCCCAAAAGTTCTTAAAATTTCACCTACATCTTATCCTAAAAGCCCAAAAATCTGGAGTCCCCGTTGTACAACGGGTGCTCACTTATATACCCTCGGGGAACGGTATCCGTTCCAAAACAACACGGAATCCGTTGGAAAGCAACGGAATCCGATAGAAAAATACAACAGAAAATAGTTCCCATCTATAAAAAAATTACTTTAACAAGTTTAAAATACGAATAAAATATAACTCTAATTCATTAATATATTATGCAACATAATTAATTACCTTAAAGCTCATTTTTCTAATTAATAGAAAAATCTGTCAGCGCATAAATATCTGGGGTGCGCGGATCAAAGAAGTAAACGAAAATTCACCCATAATGCATTGCGCCGAAATGTAAATAGAAAACTAAGACTGTCTGCAGCTTACAACACGTGTTTGCACAATACAGGTAAAATACCAGTAAAAAACGTAATTTTCTTAAAACATTTAGTAGATCATGCTCTAGTTACAGCATTTATGCAATTATTTCAACAAGGACATCGTTAAATATGAAAGGATATGCATATATTACATGTGTTCGTTCTACTTTCACTTTACATACGATGACATGAAAAGTTGTGAATCCAAATTTAGAACATTAAGTAATAAACATACAATACATATGATCAAAATACTCAAATTATGAATCATTTATAGAGGTAGATTAATATGACAAGATTTGTATTTTAAATACAAATAAAATATGGAAACTTGAAATGATCAAACTTTACATCTACATAAAACATTCTAAATTTTGCACGTCAATTTTTTAAATCCAAAATGGAATTCACACACGCACATTTTTATAAATGAACGTTTTCGTCTCTCATAAACTTAAAGCGTAACAAACCACACACAATGTAGTACAGGAAGCGAGGTGGATATTCCTTGTTTTCTTATTCCAACACAAATCGCTGCATCCATTAATTTAAACAGAGAATCGCTGTTCATCACGGTCAAAAGTGGACATTTTCCTGTGCCGCACCCTACTCCTTGATTAATAGCCTGAACGTTTAAATTGCCATTTGGTATATTTACGAGTGTTGATATTTTTTAGAGTCTATCAAACGCTGAATTTCTTCATGATCGGACACTTGTACAAACCTTTCATTTTTCGCCTTCATGTCAACCTCGGGACTGGTGAAATTAACGTCTAAAATAGCTCCTATATCGAAATCCATAATAGGTTCAATTTTTAGTCCCGGTAGATCAAACGTCACTTCCCAAAGAATCTTCAACCTGCATCTGGTTTCCTAACTGATCTAAGGAATATTCCTTCATAATTTTGGTTTCCGTGTCTATAAGAATGGCGCAAGCATAAAATCACAACCGTCATCCATGGTGTTCAAAATATGAATGGACGAGGTAGAAAGTTCAAGAAATACAGCGCGCTATACTTTTCGAATCACGTGCTCTTTTTTCATTGGTTATATAAAATGGTATGATGAAATTTTGATAGATCATGGCTAATTCAGTGCATGAGAATATAGTTGAATTACATGCTATTAACGTGAAATTGATAGATCATGGGTAACTCAGTGCATGAGTACAATGATACAAAACATATAGAGTACTTTTTAACTCGTGCATCTTCAGATATCAGACTTGGGGGACAAGCCCCCTCGTCTGATATCTGAAGATACACTCGTTTAAAGGTACTCTATATATTACATAGCGGGTTCCAGTAAATGTTCTACCAAGCCTCTTTCTTTACTCCTCACTAAAATATTTACTGTAATGAAGGAGAAACTTCAGGAGTACTGTGCAACAGTATATTTGAGAAGTGGTGTAAATCAGATGTGAATACTTAAAAACTCCAAAGAACTTTCGGAAAATTTGAAATCACAAAATCTTACTAAAATCAATAGCATCAAAACGAAATATGACTTTTCAACACTTTATACAACCATTCCCCACGATAAATTGAAGTCCAGGCTTTTTGACATCATAGTCAGCTTCTTTTTCAATAAAAATGGAACTCGTAAATATACTTACCTTGTCATTGGTGATTTAGAAAAATATTTTGTTAAAAAGCACTCTGATTGTACACACAAGTGCTCTGAAGTTGATATTAAAAAGATGCTTGAGTTTTTGATTGACACTATCTAAGCAGTTTTTGAGATCAGGTCCTCCAACAAACTGTTGGAATTCCCGTGTGTACCAATTGCGCTCCCTTATTAGCAGACCTATTTTTGTATACATATGAAGTAGAATTTATTCAAAAACTTCTACATGAGAAGAAGAAAACACTTGTTGTGGCCTTCAACTCGACATTTCGATATATCGACGAAGTATTATCAATTAACAATAGTTACTTTCATTCATACGTCGACTCGATATATCCCAGTGAGCTTGAAAAGACGTTTATGATATCCTAACAACAAACTTTATGATAAACGTGATGACTTCAACTTTTCAATCGCCAACTTCCCTTACTTATGTAGCAATATACCCTTATCACTTGCATATGGGGTTTATCTCTCAGTTGATTCGACACGCAAGAGCATGCTCTACGTATGAACAATTTCTAAAACGATCCAAACTATTGACAAACAAGTCGATGAAACAAGGATATCAACAGCCTCGTTTGAAGTCATCTTTTTGCCAGTTTTATGGTCGATACAATGACCTTCAGCACATACAACCTATCATTGAGTCAAATGCTGACTGACGTTTTTCATACTAATTGTTAGGCCACTATTTATACACTGAACTGTCTATGGATTTCCCCGGTTTTTTTCCTGATCATGACAAGGAGCACACGGCGGGTGTGACCAGTCGGCAGGGAGTACTCGCTCCTCCATGGCACCTGATCCCACCTCTAAATTCATGAAAGATTAGTCAATTTTCCCTTTTCTATCCTGAGAAATTTTCCAGTTTTCCTTTTTCTTTTTTATCCTGAAAGAATTGCCAGTTTTCCATTTATCTTGAAAGATTTGCCTGTTTTTCCTTTCTACCCTAAAAGTTTTACCAGTTTTCCCTTTTCTATCTGAAAGATTTGCCAGTTTCCCCTTCCCCTTAGAATTTGCCAGTTTCCCCTTTCCCTCACCCTCTGGATTGACCATTTCCACTTTCCCTCCCAGTAGGTTTTGCCACTTTCCCCTTTTCCTTCCACTTAAGGATTTAGCAGTTTCACCTTTCCAGCCACCTCGAGTTTTGCCCCCCCCCCCTTCCATATGATATGCTAGTTCCTCTTACCCATGGATTTCTTTTTACAGCAGGTTTTCCTGGCCAGCCACTTAAAACAGAGGTACAGGTGAGGGATGATACTGAGGGGCGGTACCAAGGCCGTCTTGTTGTCAAACTCCATTGTGAGGAAGTACATCTGGAACTTCCAAATCTCGTTCGATCTTTGCTCAACCTTTTTATAAATATTGCTGGAAAAAAAACCAGAATCATGTGACGAACAGGTTAACCTTATATTCATCAATTAACACCCCTCACTATGGAAATTTATTATGTTTCCTGTAAGTTTCTGTCTATATAATCAATACCCAATTATTTTTTCATTGTGTTCCTAAGGATTTATAAAGCGTAAGCATACCATGCCGATATAGTGCACGGCTGACTTTTCTACAGAAAAATTATTGGCACCCACGCTGGGGATCGAACTCATGATCTTGATAAAGTTAGTCCAATGCGTTACTAATTACGCCACAAACAACGATATTGTATGAAATGTATTTTCAAGTAAAGACACATAGTTTTCATATATTTGACAAATAAAGACATAAATGAATATCATTTCCATAATACTGATATCATTGACAAAGATCTTGAAGACAAATTCTCTAACAAATGATCAAATGTATCAATAACAAAATTTGCAACGTAACATTAATTTGTACTTTGGAGTCATTAAAACGCTTTTTGATGTAACAATTGATTTAAGAATGCTCAAGAAAATTTTCATTTAGATTTTCGTATACAACAACTGTCAGCATAATAATTGTAATAGCCTCCGGTTCGTGCACTATGTGTCGACTCTGACTACTATTTCGGCACAGTATACATCCAAATAATAACACTACTATATAAATAGAGAATATTTTATCATGGTTTAAGTAATTTAAAATACAAAATGAGTTTTTACTCTATTGTTTAAATAAACCAGACTCATAAATATAATAAAATGATAAAGAATTCTAACCTGAAAATGAAAATTAAAGCTGTCTGTACATTTATAGGTTCACAGCAGAACTTTCAACATATAAAGGTATTGGACTCACTTGAAGATGGCGATAAGAAGATTGAAGAGTAGAACATTCCCCATGAGAAGGTAGCCGGCACACAGGATGTAAACAAGCCAGTAGTCCTTCTTACATTTTGCCAGTTCCACCACACGTGACCTCTCGGGATTAAGCTGAGAAGCTTTTCTTATACAGGTGTGATTAGCTGAAACACAATTAATAATTGAAATAAGATATAGAAACTATGAAAGAAGTGAATGAATGGAGAATTCTATACATGGCCAGTTGCGATTTTAACAAAATCGAACAAAATGTCCACCTTATCGTACAACAGGATCCGGATTGTACTAAGTAAAGATTTCAAAAACTGGTTTAATGTTAATGGATTGATAAGGGCAATGGGTTTTCATAAGAGTATCCAGTGAATGTATGCAATAATTATGTATATGTTATGTAGTGCATACTGTTTTAAATACTTAAAATGTAATCAAAGCTAAATGGTGAATTTAACTCTCAATAAATTCATTGATGCCTATAAGCTTTAAATACTCATATTTTAACCATATTTTGTGACTATCTCATAGTTTAATCTTCCTTACATTTTTATTAAAATAAAACTCAATATTGAAATACTTTCTATTTAAATAATCAGTTATGATTTGATATTTTGGTTTTCAATACGTTGATTTTTTGTTCTTACTATTTATTCTTACTGACTATTTAAATAATCAGCCATGTTTTGATATTTTGGTTTTATTCTTATTGGTCTTATTGACTTACTTGCCGTAGATTCATCAAATTCCAGTTCTCCATACAGCTCCCAGTACGGATAAAACACTATGTCTTTTAGGATTATTAGGATATCCCATGTGCATGATGCTTCTCTCTGTCTGTATAGAAGTGATTGGCTGGCGACACCATAAGCAAAGAGAAAGACAACCACAAGCAAGAGGAACATACACAATTCTTCAAACTAAAAATCACCAAAAATTAAATATATCCATGTATATTAAAGTTTTAATCAAAGACCCAAGTGTTTCGAATGAATATTGAAATAAAAGAAACTTACTCATTACATGTATCTTATTACTTTTTCATTTTTCTTTATCAAGATTGTACATTAAAGCTAAACACTACTCGTAAAAGGCATTGTCCGCTATATTTCTTTTTCATCGTAGCTATTCCAACAACCACTATATAAGACACAGACCTTTTAACAACTCAAAGCATCACGCTGTAGAGGTCTCACCTGAGAAGACGTACATCTTACATTGCCGTGTTACTCCGTCGCTATGAAATTATTAAATTTTAAGCACTTTTTCCGAGCCAGTAGAAAAAAAGAATTGGACATAGTTGATGAATTCTCACCAAATTAAATATAAGCTTACATAAAAATATCTTGGATAGTTTCTTTGAAACTGAGCTAAATGCAAATTTAAGAAAAGTTAGGTCAAGTTCAAAGTTTAAAAGATATTTTTGAAGTTAAATAGCTCTCATCAATATGTATCAGCATATAAGGTTTGATAAAAATATATTAGAGTTTCTTTGAAAAATTAAAGAAAAGTGAGGTCAAGGGTCAAAGGAAAGGTCAAGGTAAAAAAAAATGTCGATGAAGTGAGACATAAAGATCTTTGGCTCACGAAGCAGAATCAGCCGTGCAGAAACAAACCTTACCATCATCTTAATCATGACCAGCTTAGGTCCCAGACTGTTGTTGGGTGTGTACAACTTCATGATGCGTAGATAGAAGATGATGCAGTTCATGGACAAAATCACCTTGGCCTCATAAGCATAAGTTTCCTTGCAAGCCACTTTGATGATAAACACCACTAGTGCCAGGAGTAAATTTAACATGTCCACTGTCTTAAGAATTCCATACCAGTCACGTATCTTGCCGTGAAACGTTGGTGACGGGAAAGTCAGAAGCTGTTTGAGAGATTAAATATATTGAAAAATGAAAATAAGTAGCACAAACCATATGCATGGGGGTTAATTCCACTCCACAATACCAAGATAATATTTTGTTATTACAGTATATGTACATATACAAAGATATTGGTATGTTGGGGAGGCTATGAATGTGAAAATTTGTTATGGTGTATTTAACATAAATTACTCCCACACGTAAATTTCTATATTTACAGTACTTTAATTTTAAGGTCAAATGAATAAAACTGAATAGTGTTTCATTAAACTTTTGAACTAATATAGAAGTATACAGGGTGGTCATAAAAATAAGGATTTACTGGCATTTTGGAAAAATACATTTTCTTCTCACGCTTTCCCAAAATTGGAGGTATTATTTATCAAGAATTTAAATCTTTGTGAATACTTTCTAATAAACACTTCCATTTGTTTTCAAACAGAGACACTACATACAAAAATAAAGTCAATATTTGAATCATTGTACATCTTCTCCTGTTCAATTACATCATATATGGCGGTCAAACGGGTGGCCAGATAGCTCAGTTGGTAGAACACCTGACAGGAGATTCAGTGGGCCCGGGTACGAATCCCGGTCTGGTCCGTCGCATTTTTCTCCTCTCCTGTTAAATTTGGTGCTGTGTCATGCCCTGGAAGTGACAGGTGAAAGACCTGCCAGAGAAGAGCCTGGGTTGGTGTCTTCTGGAGCCGGACACCTTTAAGGAGGGAGGAATGTTGCGGTCAGACGTATTCGATCGCCGGTGGCCAGATAGCTCAATTGGTAGAGCACCTGACTGGAGATTGAGGGGGCCCAGGTTCGAATCCCGGTCCTGTCCGTCGCATTTTACTCCTCTCTTGTTACACATGCATATACATTAAAATGTCTAGTCCAGACACTACTGGTTCCAAAGAAATTGACAGGATTAGACAGCATTTTAAGGAAGTTAAGGGACTTTAGTTTATATCATATTTGTGGGCATGATTTTAATTTGGAATACACAACATATGCATTAGACACGATTTACTGTAAAATTGATTCTTTTGTATTTAACTTACTGTGTAAAGTTCATCCACAATGAATGTGATAATCCACACCATGCAAACAATTTCTATGCATGTGATACAATAAAACTGATAGTCCACCAACAAATAATAGGTAAACAAGGCCACGAAAAACATGTACAGGATCTGAAAAACAGAGAATATGGTCAGATACACACAGTCTAATTCTTACATCAACATCACCCAGCTTTATGGACAAGGTATACATAACATTTCTAATTCAAAACACCTCATTGCAATGAATGTGATAATAATTGTTGAATAGTCAATATGTATATTCACAGTACGTTGTTAAACAGGTCATGCTGGATGACACTGATGAACATATATTATTTAAAACTGTTGAACAATACCTTTATGGGAACCGTTTTATGATAAATCTGTTAAGCACACGTACCATACAATCAAGATGAACCAGTCCATGATGATTTGAACAAATAATGCTAATTAATGCTACTGTTGACATAAGCTAATGATTATTGGGTTGAATAGAAGGCTGTTTCCATGCTGCATTTCATTTCCAGAATTATGATCGGCGTTTCTGACATTTTTTTTAAATTTTCATTTCCGACATTTATATTTTACACTTCCAGAAATTTTTTGGGCACTTTTCCGGAAATTTAATATAACCAGGTAGGTTATAATACCATTTCTAACCGGATATAAATATTATTTATTTCAAACCATATTTTCTTCTAAGTATAGAAATTACAGTACATATATGTGATTACAACAGCACTAGTTAAAATTTTGCATGATATGTAAACTTTGCTTGAATAATCATGATAAAATTACACTTACATGTGTATGAGTAAAATTTACATAAAAATTCTTAAAAGCTAAGAAAAACGTATTATTATGATGATTCATTCTTTTTAAGATTTTAAATAAATAAGGAAAGTCTTCAGTTCTCCTTTATTACATTTAAAGTACTATATATATTTCATAAATGCCAGAAATGAAAACTTAACCAAAGGTAATCAGAGATTACAGAGCTCATCTCAACCAATGCTGTCTTTAAGCATCTGAAGCAAAACTTTTAGTGTGCATCCTTAGATGTATCATCCATGCAAGTTTGGTCAATATAGGGCCTATAGTTACTTGGAAATGAGATCTGCTCCAAATCTTCATCTCCTCCAAAAACATTAACCTGGTCATTCTTTAGCTGAAATTGCAGCATCTGAAACCTTGACTTGTACAATGAAACACTCTAGAAGCATCAACCATGCATCTCTGATCAATTTAGGGCATAGAAGTACGTGAAAAGAAATCTGCTCCAAAAATTTTAACCTTAGAAGCCGACAGCATTGGTATTACTTAAGCTCCCCCAACTTCGTTGAGGTGACCTAAAATGTCGGAAATGTATAGTAAAATATTTTTTTTTACAAATGAAATGCAGTCTTTAATTTCAACAATTAACATTAAAACAATGTACCCCTTTGTGGTGATTTGGTTTTAATGGAAGCTAGGTTGTACTTTTCAATACTTATTGAGTGAATGGGTAAACTTGATATTGGGGGCTAGGTTGTAGTTTTCCTTATAATACTAATATACGAGTAATTGGTAAACTTGGTGAGGAGGGCTAGGTTGTTGTATTCTATACTTACTAAGTGATGGGTGAACTTAGTGATGGAAACTAGGTTGTAGTTTTCTTTATAATACTTACAGAGTAATGGGTGAACTTAGTGATGGGAGCTGTGTAAAACGTCAGGATTTTCTGGGATGTTTTTGCAGTCTTCTCCCCCATTGTGTTCACCTCCAAAAACGGCGAGAACAAAAGAAAAGGGAAGAACACGGTCACTAGCACCTAGACATGTATAAAATGAAAAAATTCAAGACATCTGGCCCCTGGATCATGAAGCAGTTTTAGACTTATGTCAAAATTTGTAAGTTGTTCATTCTAATTTCAAGTGTAAGTTGTTAATTCTAATTTTCAAGTGTCAGTCAATAATAGATATTAGTTTAAGAATGACAGTTTATGACTTATGTTTAAGACTGCTTCTTAATCTTGGGGCCTGTTCATTTATTGCTATAATTAAAACTAACTAGTACTGTTGTCATACAGTTATTGCTTTGCTATGAATTAACACATAACAGTCCATCAAATTCTTTTATTGATATGGACTTCTATAATAAACAGTCTAGCGGTAGGGCCAAACCTATGGGGTGGAAAAGGGATGTAATTCAACAGTACAATAGATATATCATGCATTTGCACTTATATTGATCAGAGTCCTGCAACTCAACTGAGTATCAGACAAGAAAATATAACTGTTTTTATCTGTGGGTCTTAGGAAAGTTATTTCCCTTAAGATTGATACGACTCAAAACTACCTCGTCCAATTACAAGAAATTAAACTTGAATAAAATGTGATTCACAGATGTTGGGTTAAAATACTTGTTAACAATTATATCTGAGAAATGCTACAAATTCTTTAATGTCAGGGTGACCCATTAAACTTTACAGAATTTTTTGACAACTGATTAACTGACCTACATGTAAATGTCCACTTATTAAATCACACATTTAGAGATGTACATAAGACTGTTGAATATATTAAATACAACATTCATGTACAATTTAAACATTTAGAGATCATGCATGCAAATGTATATACATGTATACAGTAGGAATTAATGACGAACGAGAGGCCCATGGGCAACAATGCTCACACGAGTCACTTAGGTTCTGTTATTCTGCATCATATTTTTTTTACCAAATATACATGTATTCCTATGTAAAATTTTGATTGTCTTCTGTGGCACCAACCAATATACAGAGGTTGTTTTTTGATTTTGACTGAATCAACACTACCAAAGGATGCTTTCACTTTGATATAATTCCTAATAATTTTGTTGATCTTAAGTAGAAGGAGTTTTAAAGATTTTTTTCCTATGTAATACTTGTTGTGGCCTCACCCTACCCACAGGGACCCTGATCTAAACAATTACGTGACACAATCTACACTACCTCAGGAAGCTTCTACCTAAGTGTCAGCTTTTCTGGTCCGGTAGTTCTTGAGAAGAAGAGTTTTAAGATTTTTCCTCTATATTTCAAAGTAAAACTTTGCATCCCAAATATGGCCACAGGGACCTTGATCTAAACAATTTAGAATCTACACTACCTCAGAAAGATTCAAGGTAAGTTCCGGCTCTTCTGGCTCAATGGTTCTTGAGAAGATTTTTTTAATGATCCTACGCAATTTTTGCCTTTTTCGCCTTTGAAACTGGGCTTGGTCCTTCATTTCAAAAATTTAAAATCCCCTTTACCCAGGGATGCTTTGTACCAAATTTTGTTAAAATTGGTCCAACATCTTCCAAATTTCATATTGCAAATTGTAAATTGCACATTTGTAGCCGAGATAATGACTAAAAATAGTGAATTTTAAATCTTTTTCAAGTTCAAAGGGGATAACTGTCAAAAATCATCGGACCACGACCAAATTCGAACTTCACCTGTATTTTGTGCTAAGATACCTGCTTATGCAATTTCAACCTTATACATACACCCCTACGAAAGTGAGAGAGCTGAAACTGAATTTTTTTCTATGTTCAAGAAGGATAACTCCAAGACTATCAAAAATCATCGGACAATGACCAAATTCGAACTTGACCTGTGTATTCCTATGACGTATCCATATGTCAAATTTGAATTGGATGTGTGCAATTGTTGCCGAGATAATAAATGGAAAGTCAATGATGATGGAATGACAGAATGACGGAACAGGGTAACACTATATGCCCCCCGGCCATTTTATGGCGGGGGCATAAAAAGTTTACAGACGGACAGATGGACAGACGGAGATGACGGACAACAAGTGATCAGAAAAGCTCACTTGAGCTTTCAGTTTAGGTGAGCTAAAAGTAGAAAACAAGCTAATTAAAAGAATTTTTGTCCCCCGCTTAAGGAAAAAAAGAGCATGTGCAGATCGAGAGGGGAACCTCCCTGGATTTACAGAGATATTAAATGTAAATACTGAAGCAAATAAAAAAATCCAATATGGATATAAAGATTTTGTTGCTTATTCTTTAAAATATGTACAGAAGAAGATTGATTTCTTTTTATATAAAATATTTATCACACTGTAATAATGATTTTATGAAGTTTGTAAACACCAGACGTCATAACTTCTTCATTTCATATGTTGAAAACTATCATTTAGTAAATCGAAAAAACATTTCAAAAAAAAAAAAGTGGGGATCGTCCTGGATTTGAACCCTTGACCTCTCGCATGCAAAGCGAGAATAATACCCCCAGTCCAACGAGGCGCTTGACATTGATTCAAATCAAATGCAAACAACAGTTCACATATACACATGTACATGTTCACGTTCGATATTGTCAAAGTTTTATACAACACTGGTGTCTAATTTAGCCTTGACAAAACAATTCTTATACATCCAATTATAATATAGTCCGCCGACAGCCTGTATTATATGTAATAACTCTCAACATGCTCCTCTGCTAAAAAAAGTGCCACTCAACTTTTAATACAAATTGACAGACAGACGGACGGATGGACAGACAGACAGACCAAAATTAATATCCTCCTCTTTCAGTGAAAGCGCGACTTTTAATACAATAAGAAAAACGGGGCGGGACATTTTGAGAGGGGCAACAGAGGCCATAGAGAGTTATGGTATAAAATTTTATTGCAAAAGCTCAGAAGCCTCTGAGCTTTTGCAATGAAAGGAGATGGGCAAACATAGCGTGCATAAAGCCTATAAAAATCATGTTCAATTTGTGAATTCAGTATTTAGAGTAAAGTTCACATAATTGAAATTTATGAAATTATGATAAACAAAACTTTTCTGAGGAAAATTTTCTCGGCAAAATTTATCCTTTCATTAAAAAAAAATAATGTGGTATTCGTGGGATTCGAACCCTAGCAATAAAAATTCCTGAGTATTATTTTCTTTCGAGACTAGCACGCTAACCACTAGACTACACAAGATCTGATGAATAGAGACATTTAAATCATGTTTGTGATATGACCCTTGACTTGATGGACTTCAAGTATTTCTTGAAAAGATGCGAATGATATGTCATAAAGGTATATTTTTTAAGGTACAGTGGGTCTTTGCTCCATATTTTAGGAAACTAAAAAATGTATATTTTTATGCAAACTTCGAGGATTAACTTTCAAAAAAATTGAGCGAAGACCCACTCATATCGAAAAATAGTATTACAGTATGAGAAAATGACTCATTTTGCCCTCTTTAGTGTATGTACAATATTTCATAAGCAAATAATTTCAATCTTTGTGAGATTTTTGCAAATTGTAGAGATTTTACATAAAGTATATTTTAATGTTAGATGAAATATCAAGGAAAATTTTGATATAATTGAGATATTATTTTTCACCTTCATGTTTGTCACACTATAGGCTTTTCGCTCGTCATGTTCACCAATCTTCTATTACATAACAACTCCTTATCGCCTTTAGAAGACCCCTATTGATTTTGACGTCAAAAGTTAAAAGGTCAAGGTAATAAATTCTGTGTTTTAACACTTTCGTTTCCGCGTGTTATCTCGAGAAGCTTCTGAGTTTTTGCAATGAAATTTTACATAAAAACTCCCTGTGGCCTAAGGAACACCCCTTATTATGTTGAGGTCAAAAGGTCAAAGGTCAAGGTCGTAATTTCATACATTTTGTCTGTGTGTAACACTTTCGTTTCCGTGCGATATCTCAAGAAGCTTTTGAGCTTTCCAATAAAATTTTATACCATAACTCCCTATGGCCTCTTTCGCCCCTCTCAAAGCGCATCGTTAGACAAGCCCATGGAGGTATTCTTGCTTAACATATGAGAGGTCCCTGTTTCAAATCCCAGACGATTCTGTATTGTTTTTAAATGATTTTTTTCCGGTTTAGTAAATGAAAGTTTAGACGTCTGGCCTGCACAAACATTCTCATAAAATCATTATTACAGTATGATAAATATTTTTATAAAAAGAATCTTCTGTACACATATTAAAGAATAAGCAATCAAATCTATATATCCTTATTGGCATTTTTTATTTGTTTCGGTATATATATTTAATAATTCTGCAAATCCAAGGGAGGGAAACCCCCCTCCCCTAGATCTGCGCATGTTCTTTTTTTTCCTAAGCGGGGGACACAAATTCTCTAAATTACCTTGTTCTCCCTCCATACCAAGAAGTGATTTTGAGGAATATTGAAAAACAACCCCTTTTATTCCCAAATACACCACAAACAATACACACTGTCAATATATAGCACTGAATTTCTCCTTTCTTCGTTTTAATTTACCGATACATCACTTTGAAAACTACATGTTGTCATTGCCATGGAAATAACCATAAACTTGGTATTGAAGAGGGGAAGGGATTATGGACCCTTTGTAACTGAATATCATTTTTTAACTTCAGATTTCTACCTGGGATCCAAACATTTGAAAGATATACATGGTTTCATTACGTTAATCAATTTAACTGCCTTGAACACGTTGAACTTGCCATTTAATTTTGAGGACCCATGTTTTGTTGACAGTTTGTATTCAATACATAAAGCCAGGTAGCAGGACTAATTTTACAGACGACAGCCCCTTGTTACCACATAAAGCCAGGTAGCAGGACTAATTTTACAGACAACAGCCCCTTGTTACCACATAAAGCCAGGTAGCAGGACTAATTTTACAGACAACAGTCCCTTGTTACCACATAAAGCCAGGAAGCAGGACTAAGTTTACAGACAACAGTCCCTTGTTACCACATAAAGCCAGGTAGCACGACTAATTTTACAGACAACAGCACCTTGTTACCACATAAAGCCAGGTAGCACGACTAATTTTACAGACAAGTGTTCAGTCCCTTGTTACCACATAAAGCCAGGTAGCAGGACTAATTTTACAGACAACAGCCCCTTGTTACCATATAAGGCCAGGTAGCACGACTAATTTTACAGACAAATGCACAGGCCCTTGTTACCACATAAAGCCAGGTAGCAGGACTAATTTCAGAGACAAGTGCACAGCCTCTTGTTACCTTTTATCGAGAAAAAGTTTCCACGTCGCCATGTGGCGTCGATTGAATTTCGACATGCCACAGAAGATTGATTAACCTTCAAATATACAAAAAAATAAATAAATAAAAAATAAGTCATTGTGATTTGAAGTCTTTACCTTAATGGGTTTGACTTGAATGCCTCGGTTCCAATTGTTATCTATAGAATTTTTACATGCCACTGACGAAAGGAATGCCTTCAAAATAACATATCATGGTGAAACACTGGAAAAGTGATGTCATTTTTTTAATAAATGCGTTTTTTCACAAAATGGGAAATTTACACCACTTAAAAGTTAAATCTAGAGCAGCATAAAATTCCCCGTGTGTATAGTCAAGACTAGAAAATACTATGTGTTCTGGAGTCTTTTTTTTTTCATAAAATACAAGAATACATATTTTATGCCTATTTGTAATGTTTTAAGACAGAAGAAAATCTTATCCCAATATGTTGATGTTAATTAAAGCACAAGATAATTCATGTATAAAGAACTTTGCCATATATTGCAAAATACCATGTATATACCCTCTTAAATCCCATAAACTTGACAGTTACAGGTATTTCTTAAATATCTCATCCCTCCCATTTCCATATACTGTACACAGGGTTATTTTCAACCCGTGTTATTCTTGCAAACAATTTAATTCGCCAGTCACAAGTCTGTATAAGAAATTATACTGTGTTTTTTTTTAATTCGCCCCATCTTAAATTCGTCCACCTGTGAGTAGGGTGAAAGTGGCGAAAAATTCCCTGTATACAGTATTGCCTTGTTTCACATTATAACTTCACATACCCTGTTCACTGCTGAAGCCGCGATCTGTAGACTTGTCATTGAACTCCAAGTCGGCGATTTCCTCTCGGCCAACATCATGGCTTTTTCTTGGTGTTTAACGTGGCATTCATCAAGGACACTCTTAGCTAGGTGTTCAAATTCACTAAAAAGAAAGACACTTTTCTAAGCATAGCTTAATTACATTACTCGCCCTGTTGTTTTAATCAGAAAAGGGCACAATTAAATTTGGATTTAATTTCACACTGTTAAATGACAGAAAAACTTAATAAAGTTCAGACAAAACTGCCTATAGACTAGTACATACTCTTTGTACTCTATGATTCTTTCCTTTAGAGCAGACTCATTACGATGGATGTGCTCCGCCATACTTCCGTAAATCCTGGAGGCTGCCACAGCGCTTGTAACAGGTTCACTCCCCATCTGCCAGGCAAATTTGGCCAACTTTTGTCTAAAAAATATTAAATCTTTATCTATATCATATACATCTGAATCTACAATAAAATTTGATTATAGCGAAGTCCTGGGGACCTATGAATTTACTTCGCTTTAACCATGAATTATGATACTGTAGAAGCACAAATTTGCGTGATCAAATGAACACTTCGTTATAAATGGGGCTCTGACCTATTGGACCGGATTTGGTTTAAGTATTTACAAAAAGCTAGTTGATTTCTGTTCCGGTCAATGACTCTACATACATGTACAAATTCTTTTCTCATAAATTATTTTATTTCAGTATCTAGAGATAGGAGGAACCTTTTCATAGACATTAACTATGTAGCATGCCATTGTCAATGCGTTTTGAATATATATGCAATAGAAATCCATCACAGCTCAATGCAGGCGAGAGTACCTGTATTGAGTAACACAGAGTGAAATATTCTTGTCCTCGAAGAAAGTGTGCTATACTGAGGTATAGTTCCGCTTGACTGCTTTACAATGCAATTTACGATTTGCTCTTATGTGTCTTTCATATCAAGAATGAACATGCATAAAAGATAGATAGCCGAAGGAAAATACAAAAGTCCCTATAAAAAATTAACAAAAATAGTCTATGAAAAGGCAAGAATTTAAAACTATAAAGTGTGGTACCAGGTGGATTTGAACAACGACTCTAAAAGGTATCCGCGGTGTTACTACCCATGCAGCTGTTATACCAATCGAGCTATGAAAATATATAAATAAAATGTATAAATGTGAACCAGGTTGTCAAAAACAAGTTTCCTTATTTTTTGTATTTTATTTTTTTTTTTTTTTTTTTTTTTTTTTTTTTTTTTGTTGTAAATTTCGACCCTATGGCAGGGGTGCCCTTAAAAAATTCCTATCTTAAATTATTCTTTACATCACAATCTATGAAAATATCACAATTTTATTTAGGGGAAGGCCTGCCCTGAAGGATTCTAGGTAAGAATTCATACAAAAATCAGTGCTTTAACGGACAAAACGCTGTTTTGATTGATTTATTGTATGTTGTTTTACGTCCCATTCGAGCATTTTTTTTACTCATATAGAGACCTCACCATATACAGGTGAAGTGCTTCAAATTTAGACCTATATTTGGCACTCAGGGCGATTGACCAGTGAGGGTTCTTTATCGCGTGAACGCCCACCGTGACACGGGACTTCGGTTTTTAAGGTCTCATCCGAAAGACTCGTGACTTTCACTTCTAATGCCGGGCGCTTGGCGGAGGAACAGTCACTACCTATGTTTATGTCTTAGGTTTGAAGCGGCACGGCGAACGAGAATTGCACCTGGGTCTCCCGAGCACGAAGCGAACGCCCTATCACTACCCAACCGTGACCGGTAAATGCTGTTTTGGCGATTAATTTTAAAGTTGTAAATAATAAATTTTAGGTTTAAAATACAAAACTTAAAAAATTAAACATATCTGCGGTAGAATCAACGAAGGAACATTGATTTTTTAATGTGCCATTTTTCTTAGAAATTGTTCTCTCCTATAGGTCAATTGATTTGAAATAGTGAATACATCCTTTTGTTGATTTGTCATCTAAAAACCTTTCGTAAGCATTAAATTTCGTTGTTTCGAATGTAACCCTATTCATTATATAATCATAATGAAATATGAAGATAACAAACAGTATTCAGTCTCCAAAGTCCATTGAAACGATTTAAATTTGGAGCAGAGCAAACACGGACCTCTAAATTTAGAGGTGGGATCAGGTGCCATGGAGGAGTGAGCATCCCCTGTCGACCGGTCACACCCGCCGTGTGCTCCTTGTCATGATCGGAAGAGAGCCCCCCCCCCCCCAGAAAAATTCGTAGACAGTTCAGTGTATCAATAATGGCCTAACAATTAGTATGAAAAACGTCAGTCAGCATTTGACTCAATGATAGGTTGTATCATTGTATCGACCATAAAACTTGCAAAATGATGACTTCAAACTAGACTGTTGATATCCTTGTTTCATCAACTTGTTTGTCAATAGCTTGCCTCGTTTAAGAAATTGTTCATACGTCGAGCATGCTCTTGCGCATCGAATCAACTGAAAGACATAAACCCCATATGCAGGTGATAAGGGTATATTGCTACATAAGTAAGGGAAGTTAACGATTGAAAAGTTGAAGTCATTACGTTTATCATAAAACTTTGTTGTTAAGTTACCATTAAAGTCTTTTTCTAGTAAAATATCTAAATATGAAACAGATGTGTCGGACTCTGTGGTGTCTTTTACTTCAAGCTCACTGGGATATATGGAGTCGACATATGAATGGAAGTAACTATTGTTAAATGATAATACGTCGTCGATACATCGAAATGTCGAGTGGAAGGCCACAACAAGTTTTATCTTCTTCTCATGTAGAAGTTTTTGAATAAATTCTTCTTCATATGAATACTAATATATACTAATAACGGGGCGCAATTGGTACCCATGGGAATTCCAACAGATTGTTGGAATACCTGATTTCCAAAAACTACATAGATAATGTCAATCAGAAATTCAAGCATCTTTTTAATATCAACTTCAGAGAACTTGTATGGGATTTAATTCGTTGATAATTGTTAACAGCGAAATACACGAAATTTAATCCCAAACGACTATTTCTGCTTTAATTTACAGTATCTGTATAATAAATTCAATAAAAGTATATAAAGCAAATTCGCAATATTGATTTTTTTCCTTCAAGTATGACTACCAAATGTATTTTTGGGAGTAATTAAAATTAATACAAAAGTTACCTCGGAATTCAAAAGTTTTCGGATGAATTAAATTTCAAATAGAAATACTTACAAAAATAATGTCAGTTCAATATTGTAGAACTTGAGATCTTTCAAAATTTTGTTATAAAAGTTGTCAAAAATCAGTCCGCTATATTTGTAATTTTTTTTTATAACCAATAAATTTTACAAGAACTTGTTAAGATTTTTACCTGGGATACCAAAAAACTTCCCTATACCGAATTGTTCCGTGAATTCGCTATATCCCTATTCCTACTAAAGTTTTTCTGTATTTAGGAATTCTGTGTTGGTTTTTTTTTTCAGTTTGATTACTACTAGTATTTGTAACAAGGTTTCAGTGATTTGTTTTAGCAATACAGTAAGAGACCAGAACTGAGCTAGATAAAAGTAGTAGAGTCCCTGAAAAAGATCTAGATTACCCTTCTTTATACATTCACTCAGTGTTGGCTTTCCATTTATTCTTTTCAACTCTTCAGATCTGATCTTGGGATTCTAGCTAACTCCCTTAATTATCGATATACTATAAACCAACTATTATTCAGAACATTAACTTTTACTGAAATCTATCCCCCAGCGATTAATTCTTGTAAATGAAGAACTATTCTACATAAATACATAATGAAATACCGTAAATAGTTTGCAGGGAGAAATATTCGCTAGTAAAATAAGGTCAAGAAAACATCAAAACATCAATTTTTAGAAGCTAGTCGATATTTCTTGCACACGAATAAAAGTTTGTTTATAATACTTAAGCATGCTAATATGTGATCACGATACATTAATGTCCAAGCTAGTTCTACCAAACATCAAGAATTTTATTCAGATATTCCACTCCTAATAGGACACAATATATTATCATTAAATATCCATTTAACGTAAAATACTCTGGAATTCATCTAATACATTTTATATAGGAAAAGATTTACTGGGGGAAATTTTCAAAATATACAATTTCAGATTAATTAACTAAGATTTCATTGAGGTTTATAAAGATAAGTTAATTTTTAAAAATAAAAATTTAAGTACTACAAATACAAACAAATGCTGTGATGAAAAATATATTTTAATAATTAGAAGGAACATTTCAGTTAAAAAGATTTTTTTTTGAATTGGACATATTTCTTAAAATTTGATTTTTCATTGTTTCATTGTTGCCGGAAAGTTTTACACTTATTTTCCCTAGTGATACTACCTTAAATCACTGCATTACCTTAACATGAGTATAGACCATATCATCAGCTGTTTATACGGCCATTTAAACTGTCTCTGACCCTTCTTCTTGACCGGGATGAACTTCACTCCGTTAGTATCGTCCACATTGTCCTCCTCAATGTTGTGGTCGTATTTGTCCATCAGAGACTCCATAAGTCGGGCTAGGTTGTCGTAAGTAAATGTTCTTGTGTGTATCGTACGATCCATCAGTTTTCGGAGATGAATGCTGTCTGTTCTTGCCAGAGACTGTTTAAAAAAATGTGTACAGATCTCTTATGCAGTGTAATGCAATCATCAAGCCCTTTAAGGATGTGTAACAGGAAAGGAGAAAATGTATAGCTGGACTGGGAATTGAACCCGAGACCCCTGTATCACTAGTCAGCTAGGTGCTCTATCAATTGAGCTACCCAGACCGATACCCACGGGTTAAACCATTACATTCCTTCCTCTTTTAATCTACAATGGGTTTTTTCCTTTATCTTTTGGGTCTGGCGTTGGATACCCTTAAGAATGAAACAGTGTGATATCATAGCGGTATATTTGAATTGATATGTTACATGTAATGGAATGGAACTCGTAAATATAGCTACCTTGTCATTGTTCATTTGCAAAATTTTTTTGTTAAAAACATTCTGATTGTACACACAAGTACTCTGAAGTTGACATTAAAAAGATGCTTGAGTTTCTGATTGACAATATCTATGTGGTTTTTGGAGACCAAGTCTTCCAACAATCTTTTGGAATTTCCATGGGTACCAATTGCGCCTCGTTATTAGCAGACTTTTTTTTGTATTCATATGAAGCAGAATTTGTCCTAAATCTTGTACGTGAAAAGAAGAAAACACTTGCTGTGGCCTTCAACTCGACATTTAGATATATCGACGACGTATTGTCAATTAACAATGGCTATCTCCATTCTTATGTGGATACGATATATCCTGGTTTAGCTTGAGATAAAAGATACCACAGAGTCTGACACATCTGTTTCAAATTTGGATATTTTACTTGAAAAAGACTTTAATGGTAATCTAACAACAAAGCTTTATGATAAACGTGATGACTTTAACTTTTCAATCGTCAACTTCCCCTACTTGTGCAGCAATATACCTTCATCACCTGCGTACGGGGTGTGTATCTCTCAGTTGGTTCGATGCTCGAGAGCGTGCTCTGCGTGTGTACATTTTCTAAAACGAGGTAAATTATTGACAAACAAGTTAATAAAACAAGAATGTCAGCTCTCTCGTTTAAAGTCATCATTTCGTAAGTTCTGTGGTCGATACGGCAACCTTATCGGCAAATACAATTTATCATTGAGTCAAATGCTAACTGACGTTTTTCATGCTAATTGTTAGGCCATTATTTACACACTGAATTGTCGACGGATTTTTCCGTTGTTTCCCGATCATTACAAGGAGCACACGGCGGGTATGACCGGTCGGCAGGGGATGCTCACTCCTCCGTGGCACCTGATCCCACCTCTGATGTTTGGAGGTCCGTGTTTGCTCTGCTCCTATTTTGTATTGTTTAATGGACTTTTGGGCTTGGGTACTGTTCGTTATCTCCATATATTTCATGTGCACATCTCATAGCGATACTTTGCTATTTCAATATATTTCATGAACAATATTGTTTCGATACATAAATGATTAAATGATAAGGTATTTATAATTTCTTTTTTCATTGAAACCTTTTATTAAGAAACAACATATAAATTTAGAAGATTACAGGTAAATATTGTCTGAAACGATGATATACAATTGGATTAGATTCACAATTACGACTAAGTTCAAGTTTGACAAACTCACTCTCAAGGTTAGGAAAAATCAAGTTATAGCATTTCAGAATTTAATTAAGTGATCTGTTTATTAAAAGAAATGTCAATGTATAGTTTTGTATCCGCCAATATTTAGGGCCCAGTATGTCTCATTTCATAACCTTACAACATTAGATTTAATCTTTCCAAACTGTTTACAATTAACTTTTGTTGAATTAGTTCGAATACTTTAAATACATTAAGGAGAAAAGGATAAAATAGCAATATGGGCACTGGTATAAATGAAAAGGTATTGTACAGGTAATTTTTAAATAACTACTCGGTTATGAATACCAAAAACCTGTGTCCAACCCTAATAGGGCCTTGCATTAATAGGACTTTGCAATATGTTTTGACTACACAACTCATTACTGTAAACAGTTATTATTCAAACATGACAACTTTTATTCTTCATTCTTCAGTTTGAAATCCGACATGCACTATTAATTTTCATGACCTAAGGAGCATTTAACATAAACACACAATTAAATAAATGATTTGCAGTGAGAAATATTCATTAAAGAAGATCAAAAAAGTTAATACACAAGAGACGCTCATGGGCCACATGGCTCACCTGAGCACATTGGCTGGTATGAAGCAGAAATCAGTTCAGTATTGAACAGAGGGGGGGGGGGGACTTCAATTTACACTACCTCAGGATGCTTCCATATCATGGCTTTGCTGTGCTTGAACAGAAGAATTTTAAAGATTTTTTTGCCTACATGTATGTTTTCCTATGTAAAACTCTGATCTCTCATTGTGACCCCATCCTACCCACCCTAATTTTGAACAAATTTGAATCTACACTACCTGAGGATGCTTCTGTAATAATATGACTTATCATGGTTTTGCTTTTCTTGAGCAGATTTTTTCAAGATGATCTATATTCTTATGCAAAACTTTGGCCCTCTTTTGAGCCCCCAACGCCATGGGGGTCATAATTTAAACAAGCTTGATTCTACAATACCTAAGGTTGCTTCTGTATAAATATGATTAATAATGGCATAGTTGTTCCTGAGAATATTTTAAAGATATTTCCTATTTAATGTGTATGAACAGGTTCTTACAAAGGATATATAAGTTTTACTTTTACTCTGTCTGAGTTTATGATAAGAATGATTATTAAGACACCTCTGTCTGAGGGTATATCACACGGTACTTAAATTTTCTCTTATCTAGAGACGGGGACTGAGTAAGGTACTACTTTCACCGTGTTTCTCCCCTACGTTCCCATTAATAGATAAGAACAGGAGTCTCAATCTTCTTTTGATTTGGTTTCCATCCCTAATGGGACCAAATTCTCTATCTGTAAATGTCCATCGTGTACATAATACTCTGATATTAATTTAAAGCATTTTACAGTAGAAAAGAATTTACCAAGAAAAAGTTACAAAAATGTAATTAACTAAGAAGAAATTAATTAACAAAGACTGCATTGAAATCTATAGGGACAAACGATTTTTAAAAAAATAAAAATTCAAATAATAAGAATATCAATATATGCTGTGGTGAAAAGACGCATTAAAACATTAGAATTGGAATGACAATTGACAACATTTTTTAATTGATTTTTTTTCTTAATTAAAAACAGAGGAAGATAACTCTTACCAAAATTCAAGGTAATAATTTAGGACACATCCTTATATGCTTATAGTAATAAATGGGAATTATGTCTAAATATACCGAGTATACAACCCCTATATATCTGTTATGTATTCAATTTTATTGAATCTGTTGCTATTAGGGATGGAATACCTTATCTTCTTTATTGCTGATTCAACATCCATCCTCCTCAGCTAGCTTTTGAATGCCTGACTTTCCCAAAGCTTTGCCTTATATACCCATTGGATTGGCTAGTCCATTCCAAGGGTTGTTAGGTCATTCCACTATTTGAAGTCTTCAATGCCTTTTACTCAAATACCCCTTAATTATGACACCTATATATTTCTAGGTTAAACTTTGACCCATTGTTTTGACCCTGCCCCACCCAGGGCCCAAACATGGGTCATGGTTGGAACAAACTTGAATCTACAATACCTCAGGATACTTTTGTTATAATATGACTAATCATGGCTCTCCTGTTCTCAAGAAGAAGATTTTTAAAGACATTTGGCCCCGCCCTACCCCCAGTAATTTTTATATGAACACATTTGAATCTAGAGTATGTAATGAAGCTCTCACATAAGTTTCATCTTTTCTTGCCCAGTGGTTCTTGAGAAGATTTTTAAAAGATGCCACCAAATTTTCACAAATTCTTAATTATCTCCCCTTGAAAGTGGGCGCGGCTCTTCCTGTGAACAAACTTATATTCCCTTCACCCAAGAATGCTTTGTGGCAAGTTTGGTTGAAATTTGCCCAGTGGTTCTTGAGAAGAAGCCAAAAATGTGAAAAGTGTACATACTACAGAGTCTGACGAAAGACGGACGCCGGAGACTCTTTGATCAGAAAAGTTCACTTTAGCCTTCGGCTCAGGTGAGCTAAAAAATACCGCACACAAAGAATAATGTTGGTAAAGAGAAAGTATTTCACAGCTGATTTATCTGTAGAAGGCATTAGGACACTGACCATTTCATAGAGTGTCTGCAGTCTTTCTGTGGTCAGGAACTCCTTCATCACCACATTCTGCTGTAAAATCAGGGCCACAAACTCCACCCTCTCCTCCAGTATGGCCTCCATTAGAACATCATCCAAACTCCCTAAAATGTTTCAGAATGATGTACAGTCAATGTAGATAAAAATTATTCCAAACCTCCAAATATTTTCGAATAATTCTTAGAAAGAAAATACACTCATACTTTTTTGTGAATTGAAATTCATGTAACAAGTTGAACAGCACTCATGATAAACATTATGCATCTTTAGACATTTTTTCTATTCCTGGTAACTTAATCTTTACAGAGTCTTCCGTGACATTTTTTCAAAATTTCACAAAACAATTACTGGAATTTTCTCTCAGGAATCCATATTTAAGGTGCAACGTAAATAATTAAAGTTTTAAATAAATATGTATGTGTATCTCCAAAATGTCAGTCTTATGATTACGAGAAAATAGATAATAAAAACCTTGACATGAAGATAGCTTTTTTCGTGTTTAAAGTAATTTTAATATGACTGAAATGTCTAAACAAAATTAGAGCTATGTCCTGGAGTCTTACCAGATGGCCATAACACGTCTTCCCTGAAGATTTCCTCCTGAGCTATATCATCCCGGTCCCAGGTCAAGGCCAGCTTTAATTGGTTCTGCCGAATCTTATCTGAAGCCTCTCCTGCTTTAGCTGCAAAACGTCATAAATCGGACTTAGTGCCTCCCATGAATGACATAAATTTCATTAAAAAAAAAACAGCAACATGTTCGTTTTCAGTAGATAAACTACAAAATATCCGAAATTCATTATGACTGGAATCAATTTATGATTAAAAAGTCCGCCTTAAAAAGGGAATACAGTGACTGATTCAGAACTTACCTAAGAAAATTTCACCGATCTCAACGAGTGTAGGATTTGTTTTTGTTTTGTATTTTTTTCTTGGGTTTATTTATTTTTTTTTATTTATTTATTTATTTATTTATTTTTTTTTTTAGAAAAAACTGTGATAGCAATTTGAAAATATTTCCTTTAAAAATCGATAAATCGACAAATCCAATTGATACATTTATCCTACATCTGTATACGTACAGTTCAGTAACGCTGTAAGAATGGCGATGTCCAAATCTTCATGCTTGTTCATCGGGAAAATGTTGATCTGAAACCATGGCAACATAATATCAGAACATTACTGTAATAAGTAAAAATATTATATGCATAATAAAAATTGGAACCTGAAGTATTTTTTTCAATAAATATTTCTTCAAATAATTAAGATGATGATTTAATTAACATAGAAATCATTACCAAATAGTCTAGAGTCGTGGAGAAAGCAGTTGATCCTTACGTCGCGGGTTCGAATCCCACTGTGGGACGTGGAGACCGGTCCTTCGGATGAGACCGTATCAACCGTGGTCATGTGTCGCAGTAGGTGCTGGCACGAAAAAGATCCCTCACTGCTCGATGGCCGTAAATGCCGAGTATAGGTCAGAATTTGTAGCCCTCCACCGGCAAGTGGTGGAGTCTCCATATGAGTGAAAAATTCTCGAGAGGGACGTTAAACAGCAAATAATCAATCAATCAATTACCAAATAGAATCTGATATAAAACCAGGCTAATACAGAAAGGAGTAAAAGTTAAGAAATTTCCATCCTTTATTTTGTGTACACAGTTTAATACATGTAGATCTATAAGTACCAAGTCTCTATGCTCCATGCATTTCTTCACATTCCTCAAATGTTTCTCTAGATTTTCCTCAATATCCTTTTCCTTCCATCTCTCTCCATAAGCATCAAATATTTTCTCCTTCAACTTCTCTTCATGTTTGGGTTTCAGTTCTCCCTTACTGTGTAAAAAGTCAAACATTAAACATAATCTGGGTATAATGTAAATAGCCAGCTTATAGATATTATGTATATCATAGTCACACTTAAGAGTCAGATATCATCTGGAACATACCGTATAGCGGGTTATTTTAGGCTTATTATTGCGTTTTGGTACTAGCCCGCTAAAATTCTAATCGCTAATATATTTAGTATTCATCTTAGTCTTCTTCTGCAAAGAATTGGAACCCTGTATCCGCTAAAATAAATTACGCCAAAATTATTGTCACACCTTTAGCCAAATAAAACGCCACATTTTACACTCGCCAAAAAGCCCGCTATACGGTATTGTGACTAACAAATTTCAAAATAAAGGTACAGATTACAACTCAAGAACATATCACACTGTGACAAAATTAAGGTAATTAGCATGAACCGAATGACAAGATGTAGACAATCTAATCTAATTTAAATACATCTGGGCCTACCCTATTTATCTGGTGGTATATACACATGTATAAATTAACATAACATTATGCTTGTCATTTATGAATCTTAATTATGGCCGTGTTCATAGCATGTATGAGTGTAGTATATTTTATGTCTTGTGTTGATGAATTTGTGTATTATACAAACTTTTAATGTTTCAAACAAACTTGAGGCCAGAAAAACAGAAGCACTGCAGCATTTCTTGCAAGTGCTCAGTGTTTAAAGATGAAAACTAGAGTGTCTCAGGGAACGCATGTGTCGCCTGCTTTGTAGCTTCATTAAAGATGTAAATAAATCTTAGAGTGTCATCTATTTATTTACTACTAGCATGATAGTTCATGCATTTGCCTGCAAATAAAAAAAACATACATGGATAAGAGAAGACTGCGATAGAATCTGACTATCAAAGAAAATATAGTACCACAACCCTCGAATGAATAATTCAATTGAAATTATTTGAAATAATTATTAATCATTTTATAAATACAGTCTTCCAACAATTCTTCAAAGAGATTTCAGTCTGCACTAATTGTCAGTCTACACGATCCATTGTGGAATACCGATCCCGAAATATTTAAACATGTTTGTGTGGTATCTGAATATCATGCATTTTCAAAGTACAGTATTCTGAGCTCATAAATATGTATAAATGCTAATTATTAAACCCTGCCTCTCAAAATTCATAAGCCATACGTTAAATTAAACTGCCCGTGGTATTTTTTTTTTACAAAGTTGGTCAGAAGTCATGGTCAAGTGGATTGTATTGCTGTTGTTTTTCATAATGTTTTATGTCAAACAAAGCACATGCTAAAGAGCATTCACTTACCTTTTGTATGTCAAAAATATGCTGTATATTGTAACCATGAACTATTTTGCAAAGTAGGTCAAGGGTCAATGTCAGGGGTCAAGAGTTCGGTTACCATGGTAATTTACAAAAGCCATAGTTCCAAGCAATATATGTGCAAATTATCAAATCCATACCTCTTACAGTTCTTGAGATATAAGGTGTGACAGACAGATAGACAGACGCCGGGTAAAGTGATCCCTAAGTTCGCTTTGCTCTGCAGGTGACACATGTCGTGTGACATGTTTGTTTTATGGATAAAACAAACATGTCACACCAAGCTGCTGTTATAATAAACTGAGAGGACAGAACACTAGCACTAACCAAAACTGGCGTCTTAGTTACCGATCGCTGTGAATTTTGGAATCATGTCTAGAGAGAGAATGGTCAAATTATCTTCAGTTAGCTTTTAAAATTCAGTATTGTCATTTTGTAAAGATCAGAATGTATCTTAGACTAAGAGAAAATTGTTTATTGAGCAAGTTCAGTATTAGACATAGTACATCAGAAGTATGACGAAATGTACAGCAGTTACGAGTTACCATCCACTATATACCATTTCAAGAAAAATACATATATGTAATATAAATAAGATGATACAAATAACCAGTTAGTTAGTAGACAGATATATATCCATGCAGAACTTATACCTTGATTATACACTGTATTAGTATTACATAGCTGAACATTTCAGAATCTTCCAAATAACATTGTTTTGATATAATTGTAAAAGGAAATTTCAAAGGGATATAAATCTTACTTGCTGCGAGTGTGAGAGTAGGCATAAGCTAAGATGTCAGCTGCTCGCCCAGTTCCAGAGCAGACAACGACGGGAATTTTGTGTGCTAGGGTCACCATCGCATCATGGATGGCATCCGTTCCTCCCTCCAAGATCACCAAAACAACGGGAATACCTAAACCTCCGGCTAAAAATCAATAAAAAGTTGACATCATCTGACAATTTTACTACACACTTGTATAAACATTTGTACGGAAGCCCATTTAGGACCTATCAAAAAATATTTTTGAATTCGATATAACGAATTGTAAAATTTGTTATAACGAATTTAATTCGTTATAACAGTTTCTTTGAATTCGTTATTACGAATTTAATCTGTTATAAAAAATTTGTTGAATTCGTTATAACGAATTGAAAAATTTGTTATAACGAATTAAATTCGTTAAAACGAATTCTAAAACTTGTTATAACGAATTCGTTAAAATGAATTCTTTAATTTGTTATAACGAATTAAATTTGTTAGAACGAATTCGACAAATCGTTATATCGAATTCATATATATTTTTCTACAGGCCCTGATTGTTGAATTTGATTAAACGAATTTAATTCGTTGTAACAAATTTTAGAATTCGTTCAAACGAATTTAATTTATTATAACAAATTTTAGAATTCGTTTAAACGAATTGAATTTGTTCAAACGAATTTAATTCGTTATAACCAATTTTTGAATTCAACAAATGAATTCAACAAATTTGTTATAACAGATTAAATTCGTTATAACGAATTCAAATAAATTGTTATAACGAATTAAATTTGTTATAACAAATTCAACTATTCGTTATATCGAATTCAAAAATATTGTTTAATAGGTCCTAAATGGGCTTCCGTACATTTGAGACATACACTTTAAAAATATTTGTAACAAAAGAGAGAGTTTTTGTATAACAATGTACAACCGATCATTGCAAGCCACAGGATTTTTACAATGTTCATTCTGTCCGTGGATCTAAAATGGACACAAATTTGCATGGCGTACGACAATGAGTAAATACTGATCTTTAAATATCTTTTCATGTATTCAACAACATCAATTTAGACCAATCAGGAAAAGAACATGCATCAATGTACATATAAAAAATTGTCTTGAGTACCTTCTGTAGGCTTGGAGACTTTCTGTTCAAACTGAGCCCTAAACTCTGAGGCCCCGGTGTATGTATTTCTGACTCCGTCATCAACAAACACAAAGTGAGTGTGGTTAGGATTCAGGGGGACAGGTTTACCATGAATAATTACATTACTGGTTTGAAAATGCACAGGAAAACGACCCTGGAATTAGCAAATAATTATTAAAATTACATATACATTCAATATATTATTTCTAATAAGCATATCATAATATGATGGGTTGAATACATGTACAATATTTCCACAAGAGGTAGTAATCACAGGTGATGTCAATTTTCATGTCGACAATTGGGGAATCCTGAGGCATGCTGGTTGTTACAATACCTTGATGACCGCAATCTTACACAACACGTTGATATGCCGACCTAAATTCACGGACATATTCTAAACTTCTTGTTACACGATCATCCAGTGAAATACAACATTCACGTCCTCATGTCAAAAACCCTTCATTGAGTGATGTGAAAGGAAACTTGTGCTGTGACCATATCAGACTCAAGACAGCTGTCTTTGGTGTCCCTCAAGGATCTGTACTCGGGCCGAAACTGGTCTGCCTTTTCTCCAAACCATATGATACACAATTCTACATGATTATTAAAGCACTGGAAAATTGGAAAAATTATTTCTCTCGACTTGAAGCGTGCCTTAGCGACATTGGTTCATGGTTGACATCGAACCTACTCAAACTGAACCAAGATAAGACCGAGTTAATAATCTTCACCACAAGGCAGCATCAGAGGCATCTAACAAAATTACAACTTAAAGTTGGTGATAATTTCATTGAAAGCATGCCCTGTGTGAAGAACCTAGGTGTCTTTTTCGGTCAACACCTTGCTATGGAAAACAGGTGTCCTCGGTCTTCAAGTCGTGCTAACTCCAAATATGCAATATTGGACGTATACGGCACTTTCTTACTAAAGAAGTCTATAAGACCATGGTGAATGCCGTTTTCACTGCCGGATTGGACTATGGGAACTGCCTACTATATAGAGTTTCAAAGAACACACTAGAACCGATGCAAAGAGTCCAGAACACTGAAGCTCGTCTAGTTACGAGGGGTGAAAAAGTTCGCGAACTAATTGCATTACTCCAATAAAAGAAATAAAATTAAGTTTTAGTGTGTATTACTTTTTAAAGTAATCCCCTCAGGTTTCAATGCACATCTGTCACAGTTCTGTCCATGGGCGAAACACGTGGTCTAGGCGGTCACGTGCATGCTCTTTAGCGTTCTGTTCACAATAGCAAAAAGATTTTTCCGAGTCTCATAATAAATAAAATGCAGGTTATTTTTTATAACAAGAATAGTCTATTTGTCACATATGGCCAAATCTCAGCAATAAGATGGGTGTGTAAATATATCCTTCACCAGAATGAGCATGGGGACCACCATAACCCCACTCCTCTGTCTTAGATGCTTCGTTTTTTTAAATAAGAATCAAGTATAGGCGCGTTCTCTTTATCATATCTGATATGTTTAAAATCTAAAGTAAATGATATTTTAGGGATTTTTAATAATTATTTTATTATTAAGATATTGAACTACTTTCAAACTGTAACTTGGCGATCTTTCATAAAAGATTGCTCAACTACGAGTACATCTCTTTCCCAGCATACTTTCAATAGGCACCAGAACAAACATCATTTTTAACCATCTCCCTTCCTTCTCTAAAACAATCAGTCCAATGGTTTACGCCATCACCGTTCCCGGTTTTAAATTTTAGTCACGGTTTATGGGGGATAATAAAAAACGCTTAATCAGTGAAGCGCTTGACGTCAACAATGGTGAAATATTGTTGCGTTCCACTTTGCGGTCGTTTTGGGGGACACAAATTTCCCTCAGAACCAAATTTAAGATTAAAATGGAGAGTTGCAATAAAGAGGATGGATCAGAAGACAAAAAATCTATGGAATCCTGGAAAGGAGGACATTGTGTGCCATGCACACTTCACCGAGCATGACTACAAAGACACAGAGTCAGGTTAGCATCTCTAGACTCGTTGAATATAATTCAGCATTTATTTTAATTCGAATTCTGGTTGAATAATTTAAAGATTTCCATTATTCAATAATTTTGCGTTGTATTCGTTTGTCATTTGGTTTTCTTTATTTAGTATGCGTTGCTTTGTGGTTTCTTTTACTTCTATTTCAGGTGTTACCATTAAAGTTTGGTATGTATTCATTCAAGATTATTTGGTATATATATATTGAATACGAAAAATACTAGTGAAATGATCCCATATTATTGTCATGGAAACTCTTTGTATTGATCAGAGCCTCCAGTATTTAACTACAATATATAATATGCATAAATTAAATTACTTTAGGCACTGCCAGTTTTAAAGCCTTTTGAATTTTATCCCTTCTTTGTAATATACTGCATGTATCTTTAAAAAGTGCACATCTGTGACAGGTGAACGAAGTCGACTTAAACATGGAGCTGTCCCTTCTGTGTTTGATTTTAAGTGCACGGGTACAAAGACTTTCCAAGAGACAGAAAGATCAAAGCGGAAGAGGCTGCGAGGCTACACTCAACAGACTGTTCAAGACACTCCTTTTACCACAGAGGTACAGATGGATGATATGGCTGTACATGAAGTTGTCCTGGAACAGGCACCTTCTGATACATCATCTGAGCCAGAATATCTACGAGCTGAGTGTGCAACAGCTGAAAAGGAAGTTCAGTGTGACATTCCTACACTGGGCAAATTTTCAATTGAAGGAATGAAGCTTGACAGTAAGATGATTTCCTATTACACTGGCTTAAATGGCTATGAGCATTTCATGCTCATCTTTAACATTCTAGGACCAGCAGCTTTTGATTTGAATTATAAATGTGCTTTGTTAAGCCCACAAGACCAGTTTTTTTTAACTTTGATTAAACTCCGACAAGCAAAAGAAGATGTGGAGCTTGCTATGCTTTTTAAGGTTTGTGAGTCAACTGTTTCAAAGATTATAACAACTTGGATCAACTTTTTGTATTTTCAATTTAAGGAGCTAGAGGAACAATTCTGGCCCTCAAAGGATATCATTAAGGAACACATGCCAACCGATTTTGCTAAAAAGTTCCCTAATACACGCATCATCTTGGATGCAACCGAACAACCGATCCACAAACCCTCAAATCTTGAAGCTCTGTCCAAAACATGGTCCTCATATAAGCACAAAAATACCCTTAAAACCATGGTTGGTATAACTCCCAATGGAGCAGTATCTTATATATCTTCTGCTTATGGGGGATCCGCATCAGACCGACAAATTATTGAAAGGTCTTCCTTAATAAATGAAGCTAAATTTGATGCTGGTGACAGCATAATGGCAGACCGTGGAATATTAGTTCAAGATTTATTTGCAAATCAAAATGTTTGTGTTAACACCCCTACTCTTCTAAAGGGTAAGAGTCAGCTTAGCCCCGAAGACATAGTAAGAGATAGAAGAGTTGCTTCTAAACGCATTCATGTAGAGAGGGTGATTGGTCTTGCCAAGAGGTTTAAGATTTTGAAACACGAGCTACCAATGTCGAAAGTTCCCTTAGCTTCCAGAATTGTGTACATCTGTTTTATTTTGTCCAATTTCAGAAATTGTATTGTTGATAAAAGTGCCTGATCTAAGGCAATATGGAATATACAGTAAAGCATGCTTATGGTGACAGGGACGTACGATTTTGCTTCTTTATGAATGTAATTTGGTATATCTGTTAAGTTCAAAATATTTTTTAAAGCCATGGAGAATAAACTAGAGGTACTGTGAGCACTAAGCTCACTAAATGATACCCCCCCCCCCCATATGATTTTAATGGCAAAGTCCATGTTTTGCTCTGGAAGACCCAAAATAAGTGTCAGATCAAAAAGTAAAATAGGTGCACAGTGGCACTACATAACAAAGATACTGTGAAAGTCTCATTAAATTTCATTCAGTGGTAAAAGAGGAGTTGCAGATAAGAGATGGGTACCCCAAAGCGGATGGACGTACAGACGGACGGACATCTCGATCACAAAATACCCTCCCACTTTTCAAGAGGGGGGGGGGTTAAAAAGACTTATGTAAGCAGCAATTCATTATAAGTCATTATATGTCAAAATGTGGTAAATTTGTCTTGTGCATACAATGAATCTCAAGAGAGTTTTTTCAGCATATTTCAACTTAACAAGTAGTTTCAAAATGTTCATATTCCTGACATTTTGTGTGCATGTCTTGAAATAATGAAATAAAAGTTTTGGTCAAATAAAAAAAAAAGGAGTCAGATTTGTTTGAAAATATTTTTTAGGCAACAAATATATTATTTTTACTCTAGAGTGTGCTATTAACAATTAATAAAACATTACTTCTGACAAGCATTTATGAGAATACTGATGAGAATTTTATATCATTTTACATGTAGGTGTTGTTTTTGAAAATGATCAGGAAGCCTTTAACATTCTCTGACACTCAAGCACATTATACATAATTTTCAGCATTTCATAAACAATGGTAAAAATATATAGGGTACAATACCATAAATTTCCAGTAGCTACATAAGAATATTATGTATGGCAGGATGCCAATAAAACAAATATGGCATTAGTTTAATTTACAGTAAAGATGATAAAAAAGGTCGGAAGTGCTGTACATAAAACAACTCTAATTTTGGTAACAGTGATCCTTCACAATATTCTTGGTCGATTTCAATTTTCTGCACAAAGACATCCTTAAAAGTAAAAACTACAAAGTAACAGTACTTTCTCTTCGAAATATACAGCTGACCTTGTATTTGGAAATAATACTTTGAATTGTGTTTCAGAACAATCTCACCCTTGGAATTAAATTCAAGGAAACTAAAATGCTTTCCAGGAAATATCTTTTCATGTCTACCACTATACGGACACTTGACTTCAATCAAAGAATCATCCGATACTAAACCATCAGGTGAAGCACCTAAATAAGGCTTTTGTACACATACAAACAAACCACAACTCTTCACTTTTAGGCCAGATTTAGTTTCAAACCTACTTATAGCTTTGTTTTCATAAACTCTACCATGTGAGGTGGCCTCATGACGAAAAGAAACTGCTGAACTACTAATAAGAGACTGACATAATTTAGTCTTGTTTCTCCTATGAGTGGCTAAACAAATGTCGCCAAATCTAGAGGAGGTCAACCGCCATTTACGCTCTTCAAACCAAGACTTTGATGATGACTGGCCTCTTGTTCTCTCTTCAATAGCAGCTGCTTCTCTTTCTGTAACCTATTGAACCATTAACAAAATGTTTCAGACAAAGCAAATTTTCTTTTGAAAAAGACAACATTGGCTTTTAATGACTTTGTGTATGATAAAACTTCAGACTTCATAGAAGTTCAAGACTTTCATTAAAATAAAAACAATGCCATTTTGGGTAATGTGTAAATGACTTACTTGTAAAGCACTGTCTATCCAGTACTCAGTGATAGGCTTCTCAAGGTAATCGTGATCTAATGTAGCTGTCTATCAAATAAAAACATGTACATTTGAGATTGAAACATCTTAATTTTTTAATGTTAAATGTTTTATAGAACTAATAATATGTAAATTGAATAAAAATCAAAATAGATTGTAATGCATGTACCTGCATATCTGCTTTGGAATGTAAATATCGATAGGTCAAATTTTCTGACGTCATAGAACAGTAGTTAAAGACTAAGTTTCTGGTTCTATCTGGAAATCCAGTACTGTTCCTGTATTTCACTGGTCTGGGGTCTTCAAATATATCCTCTGTCAGCCCTCTTTTCATTGGCAGCTCTTCAGCTTTCACTGGTGAACCTGCAGTGTAAAATGTACTTTTTCATATGGAATTTCACTGATTGGCCGAGTAATTTTGAGGGGCAAAAAAAAAAAAACCCCACTGAATTCATTGTTCATTATTTAGATTTTTCCACTAAACATTGTATTTTAAACATTATATTTTTAATGTGGAAAAAAAGGATGAAAGTACACTTGTTGATACATTTTCATCCACCTTTTGTAACATTCTTGTAAAGTACTGCTTAATGTACTTTAACTAATACTTACCATTGTAACTATACCGTGGTTTATGAAAGACTTGTAAGTTTTCAGTACAGGACTTTTCGATATACATCTCCTCTCCTGACACAAACTTTGAGAGCATGAGAGCAAATGCTGCAACATGTTTGCAGGTACCATGAGGTCCACGGCCAGCAGGGCACTCACAGTGTGAGTTGAGGATATCACCAGTAACTTTATCAAGTTTTAACTTGAAAGTGTAAGATACCTGGTAATGTAGATTATATGGCAAGTGTTTATATATATATGTACATTGTGGTCATGAAAAACATGTTGTGACTCAGAGGAACTTAAATCATGTTTTGGACAGACCTTTGAATTTGACTGTATAATGTAAATTTTATAGTTTGCAAAGTAATATATCAGTAGTTCTTTTGATAACTTACTACTAAATTCAACATTTTACCTTATTTTTCATGGATGCTCCAACAATACCTGACAGGCACATATCACCTTCTTCAAACAGAAATGAAACTGCTTGAATTCGCCTACTTTCCACCAGGTTTCGGCCTTTTTCAATCGCCTTTACGTCCCCAGAACATTGTTTGTCACCTGTATAATAATGACTAAATGAATCTAATACATTTTGTAGTTTTTGGAATACATGTATCAACAGATCAAATGATGTTAATTAAGATTCTGAGTTCTTACTAATTATTACTACTAAGCATCAAAATTTAATAAATTACCGGCCAATCTGTGTACAAAATACAGGTCAATTTGTTCCAAACAGAGTTGTGGAATAACCTCTCTGTGGATCTCTGTAAGTTGTTGGAATCCTTTTGAAGGCCATGAAACTTCCAAGGGGGTAGGTATCAAGATTGGGTCACTTTCAAATTTTCTGTTTCTGTCGTATGCTCTTAACCTAGTTCACCATATAAGTAGTACACTTAAATAACACATATTCATTTACAACAACTCGAAAACGATAACTGGGTAGGTTGGACTAAGCTCGATATGTTTACATTGACAACGCAACTGAACAGCCGAATAAAAGTTTTCATTCGTGATACATGTAAATAATTACTGTATGTCCTGTACCTCTCTATTAAGTCTGCCTTTCTGCCTTTCGTCGTTGCTCCTCTGGATATCAGTTCTTTTTTGAATTTTTCAACAGTCCACGATTCTATTGCCTTGTCAAAATCAAAAGACCCGCTTCTAGCATCCATATTTTCAAGCGTTTTAAAGATAAAGCTCTTGCGTCATACCCCTTATTTAACATAACAGAGAAAACCGAAAACGGTGATGGCGTAAACCATTAATGATTGAAATTCTTGCAAATCCTTTGTTTTCATAAATATTGTTCAAATTCTTATATGCCACTGCAAAGGAATTTCCAAGATATACCTCAAACTTTACAGCCGTTCCATACAAACTGAGTCACCCATTTTTGTCACGTCATCAACCTATTGACGTCATTTTCACATTATAACGTCATAAACATGGACCAAATCATTACTTAACAGCTACTTTTTATAGAACATGTTTATGACTATTTGTGTGCCAAATTTCATTCTGACCTGAATTGTGGTTTTGTAAATATAGGATAGTTTGCGAACTTTTTGATCACCCCTCGTACAAGAGCATCGAAACGGGATCCATTGCACCTATTCTAGCAGATCTTCGTTTGCTATCCGTTTATTTTCGGCCACAATATGAAATCTTGACACGTCTACCAATTCGTTACACGGTTAGCTCTATCTTATACCAAGGATCTTATACTTGAACATAAGCCCGCTAGATCACTGTGATCTGAGTCAACATCGCGGTTAGTTATTCCAAAAATCAGGACAAAGACATTTGGCGAACGTCGGCTCAGTTGGGCAGCAGCATTTTTGTGGAACGACCTCCTTCTTAATGACATATAACAGGCCCAGTTTAAAAGACATTTAAAGACACACTATTATAGAATAGCTTTTTAAATACATGGCGCACAAATTTTAACAACAAATCTCAAAAGAAGTTCTTCTATTCACAGTTTTTCAAATGAAGTAATTGTATGTATATAACTTTAGAATTTTAATGTTATAATTTCTAATACACAAATGTCAAATTAATTAAATTATTCATACTTCTATGCACAATTTCTAAAACGAGGTAAATTATTGACAAATAAGTTGATGAAACAAGAATATCAGCTGTCTCGTTTAAAGTCATTATTTCGTAAGTTCTATGGTCGATACAATGACCTTGTCAGCAAATACAATTTATCATTGAGTCAAATGCTGACTGACGTTTTTCATACTAATTGTTAGGCCATTATTTACACACTGAATTGTCGACGGATTTTTCCGTTATTTCCCGATCATGACAAGGAGCACACGGCGGGTGTGACCGGTCGGCAGAGGATGCTCACTCCTCCATGGCACCTGATCCCACCTCTGATGTTTGGAGGTTCGTGTTTGCTCTGCTCCTATTTTGTATTGTATAATGGACTTTTGAGCTTGAATACTGTTCGTTATCTCCATATATTTCATCATTATGATTATTTGCATTTTATTGCACAGCGCTTTAGAGTAATTTTTTTTTTAATATTTAACGCTTTATAAATTTGTTTTATTATTTATTATTATCTTAAAAACTGGAAACAAAATAATGCAACTCAGTAAAATATTTATTCAGTACAATATAGAAGTGGATAAAGTTCTATAAGCTAATATTTTGGAACCCAAATAACATCGTTCCAAAATTCTACAGAAATGTATTTCAAACAATCATGTAAAGAAATTGGGGTAAATGTTCTACTGCATGGTCAGTCAAAGTAAACTTTTCTTTTCTACGTAACAAGACATACATTGTAATATATGGTTTTGGGAACTTGAATTCAAAGACTACACTAATAGGAAATAAAGGAACTACAAAAATTGATCTATCTTAACTTCTTTTATTGCCTAGAGAGAGGGGAGAAAGGGAGAGAGCCATGGAGGCCACTAGGAGAAAGCGTACAGAGTCTTTCATTTTTGATGACTTACATTTCCATCACTCTCCAGCATCTTTCTGTCCTTCACATATCCCCAGGGCCCGATTCCAATCAGGCGCAGCGTGTGGGTGATTCTGTCATTGTCCCATAAGAAGGACTGACCCTCACTGACTGCATTACCAACAGCCTTCATCACTCCGACATTTGATCCTGTCGTGATCAGCCACGCGTTAGTCGTTTTTGCAGCCTGGAACAAAACAAAATTAAAAGGCAACTAGAACAATGAAGGATGAATGTATGTACTTAAAGTACTGGTGAGACTTTGAAACCATTTGTCAATATTATGGAAATCAAATACAACTGTAGCTAATCCAGGTTTTTTCCCCCAAAGATGAATTGTTAATTAAATGTTATTCATTAATCTAACAATATCCAATAGCTTGAACAGTTAGGAATTACTTAAAGTAGGTTTTAAAAAGTGGAGAATGAAAATTTAGGGTTTACAAAAGAGTATAGGAGATCTGACACTTCTGGATATAAAATAGTGGAAAATCTCCATTGTACAGCCAAATTAACTCATTTTAGGGCACAAAGTTTCAAAAGTTGGGAAGGTACAATGTATGAGAGAAAAATGTAGAAGGTTGGGCAGGAAAAAAGACTGCTGAAAATATGCTTGATGGAAGGTAGGTGTATGAAGATGTAAATAATTGAATGGAACATGAAAAGGGAAGTACAGGGGGGTGAGGTTGTTACCTTGATAAGACCAGTATTGAAAGTTTCTCTCATTTTGTTGTCCAGTTTGAAGCTTTTTGCCCCTCCTATCACTGAGATACACAGACTCGGGGGTTTAGGCTCCATTATTTTCCAATGCTTCTCCATCAGCTCTAGACATTTGTCCACAGAATCCTTGTGACTCAGTCGAACATACTAAAAAAACACAGGTGTTGTCATTCAAACATCCTCAGAAGTATTAAAAAAATACACTTGTAATTTTATATTTCTTGGAGTTTCACAGTGACCTCTGTTTTTTTAAATTATGATAATAAAAATATACACGTTTACCACTTTTTTATTGCTGGAGATTTAAGGAAAGTCTTACCTTCGCAGGTTTAGATCCCCCTAACTGGTTATCATTGTTTACAAAACTTATTTTTCCAAATGTCGTACAAATATTCTCCCGAAAAGCTTCCTCTTTGCTCCACGGAATTACAGGTATATTATTTGGTGGGGCTTTGAAGAGTGTTTCTCGATTTATGATGCTTCGCAATTCTACAAAAACAAGGCACCAACATGTGAACTGGTACCGTTACAATGCTCTGTATTTTTTTCATAAAAACAATTACAAAATCATTGGAATGCATTATTGTTTCTAAAGATCATGCAAAGTTGAGATATCTTTTCAATGAAGATGAACCCATTTTTGTCTTAGTAATTATCAGTTAAAGTGTTTACATACTACTGTCTGGGATAAGATAGGCCTCCACGATATCTCTCTGCACACTATTCATTGGTTGAGTATTAGATAGTCCAGCATGCTCTGACAAAACCTCTCCACAATGGCACCTTGTAATTAAGACAAATTCGTAAACCTTTACCAAACTGATAATGTAATACTGATTGCTATATATAAATATGACACTTTTGTTAAGTCTCCCATTTAGTTTTTACTACAAGATCCCGTCTTTTTTTCAAACTTACTATACTAAAAGTTCACTCTGTCTTTAGACTTACTTTAAGTCCCTTATTTTCTTGACTGAGGTTTGGTTTGGTTTTGGCACAAATTTACTGCATTCTATTTGTCGAAAATGCTGCTTTACAAACGTTATATGTTCTTTTTTCCTCTGACAAAAAAATTTAAATAAATATTCAACATATGAATTCAAATCATTTTTCTTCTAAAAAGGTCTTGTCATTGAGTAATTCTAAGCACTTAAACTATCAACTATAAGAAGAAATAAAAATTATGTTTTCATATGTCTTTTTTCTTCTATTAAAAATAGTTGAGCTTTGGTATCTCGAACACGGATATCTCTAATACCATGGATATGTCGAAGTGATTTTGAAGTCCTTACCATGTATTTCTTAAGTATTTTACTATTTCTTAAGTATTTTACCTTCTATATATATCGCGAATTCTCGGATATCTCGAAGTTTTTTCTCGGTCCCATCGAGTTCGAGACAAGAAGATTTGACTGAATTTATTAAAACAGCTAATCTTGACTTACAAATTAATTAAACAACTATACCTTTTGAAATTCTGAATCCGGGTCCTGTTCATGAAAGCGATCCTTGGGAATTCGACCCAATCCCGGAATCTTTTTGCGCATTTCTGAGTAACGAGCCTCCTCGAGTGTTAGCGATGTCTGAACGTCATAGAATCTCTCCTGTTGGTATTTCCTATAGTCCGGCATTGAGGAGGAAGCAGCACCTCCTTGGTCCGGGGAAAAGGTGACCTGATCATACCTGTCTGAAGGGTATATCTTTGTGTCCAACCCAACACCCGCCATTTTTTCTTCAAAGCCGGTAACCAGGACAATTTACAACAAAAAATCGAAAGCTGAATGAAAAATCATGTAGATTAATTAATGAATAGCAAGCAAGGCTTACAAAAATGGGCAAAACGTATAATTTTGCATTTGATAAAATGAGTTTGTAAATCTGAAACAACTATTACATGTAGCTATATTTCATACTTAGAACTAAAAGCTGCAGCATGCTTATTTTACAAATAAAATTCAACATTATAGCAAGTGCAGCAAAGCCCTGCTCATACCGTGAGCTCTTTAGCAACACCAGGCTGAAGACATAATTTGGACTGTGCACATTTATTTAAATGATTTTTTTTTCTGCAGTATGCACTGGACCCATAATGCACTGCAAATAGATTGTATTTCAATATTAACTGTGGACCTACATGTACTCTTGGGTTCAAAGTCTCACATAACCAAAGAAAAGGTCACAAATAAATTTGCAATACACCTCTCTCTCATGAAAATTGCAGACATATAGTAAATTAAATGCTCTTTGTTCAATATTTGGCATTTTCAGACTTCATTACACAAACGCAACTAAATTCAAGTCATATGATGTCATAATTTAGACCTTGAAAATAAACAAGGGATCCAAGTTAAAACTAAACAATAGGTATCCATTAATTTTTACGTAACTGCGCTCACCCCAACCATCGCATCATCAGAACATTAATTACACATTATTTTTTCATGTTAACCTCTAAAATTACATGTACATAGTCATTTTCTTTTAATTTGCAAATCTTTTGGTTTAAAAAATCTTTAACCCAGTGAAACGTATAGTATAAAAATTGCACAATCTCTTGATTTAGCTATATAGCTTGGAGTAGTTACATAGCTATTTTATCAAGCTATTTTTTAAAAACTTAATAAAGCTATTTCAATACAGTTTTTCACATCTTTTTAAAAATAAGATACAGGCAAAAAATTGTCCCAGAGTTTGTAAACAAGTTCATAATAAGATGTTATTGTCCGTCGCTTTACACACTGATAGTATCAATTATAATTCATAAAAAAATATTGAAGCATAAATAAATGCACTGTATAAATTAATATTTTCATTAAAATTATAATTTATACGCTCATTGTGTTACATAAATGCACATTTCTCCCCAAACTAAAGGAAACATTGACCAGTGCTTCACTTTATGAAAAGCATTAACACAATGGGTTCAAATGCCCATAAATTAATCACTTTAAAATGTTCATAACACACAACACACAGATGTCCAATCAGAATATCTCGATTTGTTTATTGAATAATGACGTATGTCCCTTGAAAAACAGCGACATCATCTTGACCAAGATTTTTGCATTTCGGCGACATCTCATGGAATACGGTGAATGCCCCTCAGATTTGGTGACATCCTGTGGGTAGTTGACATCTACTGGATAATGATGAATGTCCCCATAAACTGGGTGATATCTACTGGATAATGATGAATGTCCCCATTAACTGGGTGATATCTACTGGATAATGATGAATGTCCCTTAAACTCGGTGACATCCCCGACATGACAGATTGTCATAATGTTTGTGATCGTGTAGTGGTAATAAGTGTTCATGCATCACAGCAAACTTAAACACACATAATTGCAATCTGCAACAGAGTAACTTGGTTAATTAAATTTTCTGCATAATTGTTACTGGTCAGTCCGAGACATGGATACAGGTGTTGATCTTTTGTGGCTGTTTACCATCAGCATTTTTGGATTTCGCCTCTGCTTCATAAGAACCATTGTAGCTGGATATTTGATTGTCTTTAAACCCTGATATTTTCAGCATTTTCCACGCTCATTACTGGTGCAGTTGGAACTTTGGAATGGTCAATCTCTTTGCCTTCTAGGTATTCTGTCATTTTTAACTCTGAACAATTGGTTGAAATATTATATTTAGGACTTTTCTTTCAGAACAATCAATACATATTTGACCTTGACCTTTCATACACATTTTTTAAAATATAGAACAAAATTACTGACCCTATAATAATAGAACTTATTATACCCAGGAGAACGTATATACCAATGTCAGTCAACCACTCTCAGTTAAGGAAATACTTTGTATATTTTTTAGTTGTTTAATTCATAAGTTAATTCTTTTCAATTTATAAGCTGAATCTTGTAAATGTGGAATTAAGAGGGTCACATAAAATTAAAATTGTGACTTATTAATTCGCATTAAAGAATTGTGAACAAAGAGTCAACTTGAAATCACAAATAGTCATGTGACGTTTTAATAGCATTACTTATATGGTCATTCAAAATGTATTTTACTTTTGTACCAGAAATGATTAGATTAGTCACACAGAGGCTGCGAAATTTCACAGAGAGAAAACAACCATGTAATAATTTTTTCAAGTCTCAATTTTATTCTAGGTTAGATTTCTTCATCTAACTACATGTAATGTCATACTCAGACACATTACTTAGCGTAATCCTAGACCTTCTTTTCATATTTTACACCATTCATGCCTCTCAAGATTAAACCTCATTATAATGTCCTTTGAGTACTAGTTCAGAAAACTTATTCCGATATGTCATACCCAGACTCGCTACTAACTGTAGCACAAGTTTTATCCAATTAATTGATCTGATTTTACTCTTTCAAATCATGAAAATTCAATGAAATTGTTCACCAACAAAATTGTTAAAAGACTAGAGTAATAATTTAAGTGCAGCTTCTAACGTTTTCACTGTTTTTTTTTCATGATTCGACGATTTATATTGCTTTATTTTCTTTGTACGAGACTTTGGAATGTAACATTCATTTATGTCCATTTCATCAAAATCTGAAGCCTGTGGTATAGTCTCACTGTCACTGGAATCTTCTTCCTCTTCAGATTCTAAATCCTGTCCAGGGTAAGACTGTATACGTTGTTTTAGGCGTTTAGACAATCCCCATAAAGGTATGTCGTCCTCGTCAGACCAATTGTCTCTTACCTTTCTAAATCTATTAGCATGTTTAGCTAATGGTGTAATGTCATTTGGGTCATCAATGTCAGGTACTTTGTCTGTTTCGTCACTTTCAGGAGGTATTGCATACGCTTTATTTCTAATAGGTCTACCGTCTTCCTCTTTTGGAATTTCCCAATCTACTTATGCCAATCGCAAGAGTTCTTTATGTGTTTTCACAGCTCAAACGTCCAACTGTGATTTTTAATTTTGAATGTTACTGGTGTAGTTTGTTCAGTAACACAATAAAAGGGTTTCCAATTACTTTGCAATTTACTTTGCTTTTGATTATTTTTGTAATAAACTGGATCTCCCACTTTTATTTCTTCGTGTACAGTGTTTTTATTTGCATATTTCATTTGTCGTTGTTTTGCTTTTTTCATTATTCTATGAACGCGGTGAAAGTTTTATGTTGTTCCTGAAGCGCTATTTTATGAAGGTCTTCAGCCATGTACTTGCGTCAAGGTTTCAAAATCTTATCAATGGGCAAAACAACATCCCTGTTGTAAAGCAAGAAAAAGGGCGAGAACTAGCAGCTAGTATCTGATTGAGATGTATGCCCCATGTTGTTAAGTTGTCTTGTAATTTCTTGGATAAAACATCATGCATTGTACGATGGAATCGTTCAACTTTTGCGTTACTTTGTGGATGGTAATACGATGTAGTAACGTGTGAGATGTTCAGTTCTTGTAAGGTTTCTTTGACAATTCTGTTTTCATTTTCTGTCTCATTATCAATGACTATTTGCAAAGGCACCCCATATCTTGGAAAGATTTCTTCTAAAATCAAATGAGCAATCGTTTCTGCTGTTTTATCCGGCACAGCAGAGGCCTCAGGCCAGCCACTAAATAAATCAACAAACCCAAATATATATTTATTTCCTAATAAAGACCGAGGGTATGGGCCCGACAAATCTAACCCATCTTTTGCAAATCGATATGGAGGTATGTCTGTCTCTTGAAGTTGTGGTCTTAACTTCTTTAAGGACTTTATAGAATACGTAACACACATAGTTACATATGTTACATCTATTTTAGTCAGACTTATTTTATAAATTTAACATTTTATTTGTCCATTTCATCTCTGCATTATTTCACACATTATTTTCCCGTCACTTGTGCTATTTTTTTTTTTTTTTTTTTTTTTTTTTTTTTTTTTTTTTTTTTTAGAATCGTTTGTTTACACCCTTAAGGGTGTAGCCATTTACTATATATACGGGTGATGATTTAATACGGGGTTCAGTTTTTAGTATATTTGTGTTTGGATTACTTCGCTCAAATATTGTTTCAGGATTAATTATATGATTTTACGGTGCTTGATTGTGTTGATTTTTATGGATTTTAACTATATGCTTACATGTAAATAAAAGTTGATAATAAGACTTTTGATTTCCAAGGAGGAAGTATATCGCCGGGGGCGATTAAGTACCTGGATTAACGCATTGAGCGTTTACATTGATTTGCTACCTACAATATTAATGGATTAATTAATTTACCTGATAATTGCTCGGACTTTACACATGACTTAAATTTCTTGATATAAGTTTGGCCAGTAATACTTTTGCATAATAGAAACAAATGTCTTGCCTATTCCCATATGCCCAGTATCATCATAAAATTGTACAAACGTACGATAGGATCATGTTCCATGTTTGACAGAAAATACACAACATCATCTATTAGCATGTATTTACTTGATATTGATTTATCGGCTTTTCCTTGTAAGATGGTATTTTTGATTTTTAGGATTTCTGGATCTTTATTTTGTTCTTTGGCTATATCTGCATTTTCTTCCTTTAAAAATTTCAAGGTCATTTTTGAAAGGTAGATCTGGTCTTTCAAGTTAGCAACTAGCAAACTGTTCAGGATTAAAAGCCTTTGAATCTAAGAAATTTATTTCAAATGTCTAATCATTTACACTAGGGTCTACAAATTCCTCGTTTTCCTCTTTATTTATTACAGGATTGTCTGGTTATCTTGACAAAAAGACAGCGCACGTATTTTCTGTTCCTGTGATGTATTCTATTT